GGACACGGAAAAAGACAAAAAAAAAAAAGAAAAATATTCCAGGAATATTTTTATTCCCAAGTGGAGAGAAGAACCACTTGAAATGCTAAAATCGTCGTCACACCTCAGACCACTGAGCAGGGCTCTCTGGGGCTGTGCCAGAGAAGATGAGATAGAACCGTCTCATTTGGAGCCTGCCTCAGCGCCCCAAACTGTGGAGTTGGGCCAAGGGGGTGTGCACATCTGGAAAAATAAAGTTCTCAGTGCGCATTTTCACACATACTGCACACATGTCAGCAAGTGGCAGGGGTGTGATCCCTAGCTGGAGAGGGAGCTGTCTTCACAGGTGTAGCTGCACCACATCGAGGAGTGAGAAGGGACATCAGGACCACGACTGGGGAAGGCTCCTGTGAGACACATGCTCAGGGATTGGCCTTTAGAGGACAGCAGCTGTGGCTAAGTGGGAAGGAGATGCTCTGGGCAGAGAGACCACCAGAATCAGTGCCCCTGCCCAAGGGGTTTATTTAGCAAACTGGAGTGAGGCCAGCCTGCCCTCGGGGACATCCTGCTGGTCTGAGGGACGCAGCATCTGTGCTCTGATTTCCTCTCCTGCTCTTAGGGATACTATGGAGACTAGTTGGATGAGGGTAGAAAGTTCACACTGAAGGCCTGAGTGTGGGACGGGTGGATGAGACCACTGGTGGTCTCGGGAGCCAGACCTTGCTGTTAAACTTGGATCTGTTGAACAGGAGGCCCTTGCACTTGGCCATCCTGAGCTAGGAGCTGATTTCAGAATTTACCTTCTTTTGGATAAGTTAAATATTTTGTATGATTCCATTTGATACCTTAGTTGGCTGACTACCTGTCACCCTCTTCTGTGTTACTTTAGTGATTTCTTCAGGTGTCTTGTCCTTGGAAAGAAAGTTGAAGATTTGAGGAATTTGGAGGAGGGCAGGTGGTGGTTCGTGAGCCTTCTGGGTAAGGGATGGGATGGCAAGGGCATGGGCATCTGGCCCAGTGTGGACTCAGGGTGGGCCCCAGATAGGAAGTGGCCGTTTGGAGATCACCGTCCTTCCAGTGTCCTGACCATGTGCTTCGCATGAGCGCCTTGTGCTGAGCTGCTGTGGGCGCCTCCCTGCACCGCCGTCATCCTGAGCAGTTAAGTGTTCATGAGCTTTGGCCTTGGACAGAGCTGGGT